TCAATCAACTGGGGTGGCACCCAGGGTGGCCAATCAGGTTTCAGGGTGACCAGTGGCACCCTGGCCACCCCTCTAGCTCCGCCCCAGTGTTGGCTCTGTGGTATTTAAGTCCCGCACATACATAATTATTTACTGACTGGCAGAGCGCACTGATATCATGCTTTCATTAGCTAATTAGTATCAGTTAGCTAGTTCAAGACCTCTTACACCTCCCACATTTCAGATTTATTCAGCAATTTAAATAGATTTCGATTTCTATGCTCATTGAAAGCGGTTTGGTCCATCTGGATTAATAGTTCAATCAGAGCTTTGTAGACAGGAGGAGGAATTTAGCATCACCTCCCTACAGAGCTAGCTAGCTACATCCATGAAAGAGATAGACAGATATTGTCTCCAAAGGTGGCAGTTGTTTCCACAGTGTAAATTATGCTTGCCTCCAGTACATAGATTATATTACATACAACATAAAAACATTTATACACAATATTTAGTTTGTACTTATCGACCTATGGAATTTCAAACAGCTAAGGCAGAGGGGACACAACTTCAGATGAAAATAGCAATAGAAAAATGGCGGCAAGCTTCATGCAGCTACTGTGTAAGTTCTAAGTCAACATACTTAGAAAGGATTCACAACCACTGGCTCATTCATACACTGTTTGGCAACCAGCTGACTAGTAACATTTAATCAGTACAGTATGTGTGTACAGTAGGCTACAAGTACTGCCATTGTAAGCTCACAATTCTTACTTACACTCATGATACGCCCATGCTAATGCTGTTTCCATCAGACCTAACCATCTCCTATTGTTTTGAATCTTTCGTTGACTTTACCAATATTTAATGTTAATGTTATATGTTTTATAAAGGGTTATTATTTATTTAAGCAGAAGCCTTGTTGCTACCGAGATTCTCCATTAAAGATCAGAGCCTTTTCTGTCAGTTCTAGCTGTATACAAATTTGCCTTACATCCATCCATTCCTTGATGTAAAGCACTCTGACTGAAATGTCAACTTCCCAGCTGCTAAAAATGTTTTCATTGCGTATATTTATTGCTTTTCACTGTACAGCTAATGTGCAAACACAAATATCTATTGTGGACATTGTGTGGTGGAAAATGACCACCACCTACCTGCTGGTAAATATTTGAATGCAGCTTGTA